CCTCGACTCCTTAGGACATCACTTCATCTTGGGTGCAGACCTAAATGCCAAGCACCAACAATGGGGTTCCAGAACCACGAATTCTCGTGGCCGAACCCTGCTGTCTGCACTCAATTCCCAACGTTTTCACCTCCTTTCCCCCAACTCTCCTACCTACTGGCCCACAGATCCCAACCGTAATCCTGATCTTCTTGATTTCTTTATCCACAGCGGCTTAAGTCCCCTCAATTGTTCCATTACACGTCTAAATGAACTTTCCTCTGACCATAGTCCTCTAATCCTTAATGTTTCACTTGAACCTGTTCCCAAACCTTCTCCACCGTCATTCATTAGGGGCCCAGTAAACTGGGACCTTTTCCGCCAAATAATCTCCGATAATATTGATCTCAACATATCCCTCAAAACTCCCGATGACCTTGATAGTGCCGTAAATTCCTTTACTACCACAATCCAACAAGCCGCCTGGACTGCCTCCTTTCCAAAAGACTCCTCCAGAATTCCTATAAAGACCATTCTACCCCAACACCTCCTTAACCTAATCCGCACCAAACGCCGTGCCAGATTATTATGGCAACGAACCCGACATCCTACCGACCGCTGCTCCTATAATTACTACTGCAAACAATTAAAACTGGAATTAGCCACCTTCAGATCACAATCCTTCAACTCCTACCTATCCTCCCTCTCTTCTCGCGACAATTCCCTTTGGAAAACCACAACAAAAATCCTAAATCCTCACCGCATTTCCCATCCTCTCCGACGAGGTGATGGCTCCTGGGCAGCATCTGACGAAGATAAAGCTGAGGAGTTCGCCATTCACCTATCCAATACATTTATTTCACATCCGGAATCCCATCCTGCCCACACCGTAACAGTAGAAGAACTCCTTACATCACCAATCCCACTTTCCTTGCCCCCAAAAGCTATTCATCCTTCCGAAGTAAAATTTCAATTAAAAAAACTAATCCTCCGTAAAGCTCCTGGACATGATCTCCTTACACCTCAAATCCTTCGACAACTTCCATCCAAAGCAGTCATATTCCTTACATATATCTACAATTGTATCCTACGCACCACCCACTTCCCTCTGTTATGGAAACACTCCACTATTATCCTTTTCCCAAAACCAGGAAAACCTCTCAATAGCTCAACATCCTATAGACCAATCAGCCTACTCCCAATCCTTTCAAAAATTTTTGAAAAGATCCTTTTGAAACGAATCCTACCCATTATAGAATCCCAAAATATCCCTTCCCATCAGTTTGGTTTTCGCTCTCAACATTCTACTGTTCAACAAGGACTCCGAGTTGTTGATCATATTTCCTCAGCCCTAGAAAACAAGGAATACTGTTCGGGTGCCTTTCTGGACATTGCACAGGCATTTGACCGGGTATGGCACTCCGGACTGCTCTCCAAGCTTAAAATCCATTTACCTCAGTCCTTGTACCTAGTCCTCCGATCCTACCTCTCTGACCGCTCCTTTCGAGTTCGCTGTGGAACAGAATTTTCCAATATCTACTCCGTTAAAGCCGGTGTTCCCCAAGGCAGCGTCTTGGGTCCCGTGCTTTACATCCTCTTTACTGCTGACATCCCTGTTCATCCCGATACTTTTCTTGCAACATTCGCTGACGACACCGCAATCTTATCATCCAACTCTGATCCCGAAATAGCATCCTTAAATCTACAAAGTCATCTCACCTTGATTGAGCACTGGTGTAATAACTGGCGCATTAAAGTTAATGAATCTAAATGCCAACATATTACTTTTACACTCCGACGCAATTCCTGTCCACCAGTACTCTTTAATTCCATCCAGCTTCCTTATTCAGACACAGTCCGGTATCTTGGCTTTCATTTAGACCGAAGACTAACTTGGAACCCGCATACTAGACTCAAAAGACAAGAACTCAACCGACGATACGGCCAACTATACCGACTACTAAGCAGAAAATCTAAACTTTCCATTGAAAACAAGCTACTGATCTACAAGACAATACTGAAACCTATTTGGACTTACGGACTAGAACTGTGGGGATCAGCAAAATTTTCTAACATCAAGCGCATCCAATCCTTCCAGTCTAAAGTCCTTCGAACAATAGTCGATGCTCCTTTCGATGTATCCAACAAAACCCTACATCATGACCTTAACATCCCATTTGTCCTAGACCTTATCCCAGAAAAGTTCTCCAAATTTCACCAGAACCTTACTTACCACCCAAATCCTCTTGCACAATCCCTATCAAGCATCTCCCATCCCTATAATCCTCCAAGAAGGTTGAAACGGCAGTGGCCTCGCGACCTTTTGTAAATTATATAAATTGGAGTTCTGGCAATGGCCAGATTCTTCACTCAAGACATGTGTGTATGTGGCTAAAGTGCTCTCGACCAATCTCCGCTGGCTTTAGTACCAGTGACGCGGTTGGAAGAGTAGCGCAGGGTTCTCCTGGAGTTCCCTCGCCTGATTGTATATAGGTATGCATGTTATTTTTTTTTTTTTTTTTTTCCTTAGTTTTAATTTTCTTATTTTTTTAGGTTTTTTTATTTTATTGTCTATTGTATATACTTTTGATTATTATTTTGTTCTATTTATTTTATTTTTTTTGTACATATGGTGTGAATGTCATCCTACCTCACTATAACCAATGTCGAACAGACAGATTGTTATAATACTCAATAAAGAAATTTAAAAAAAAAAATACTCTATTTGCCAGTTATGTTTTCATTAGTAATTATTTCATTTTATTTGTCAGCCATTCTCAACATTGGAATCAAATCATAATGTTATACAGCCAAATGCAAATCATTAAAAACACTCATTGTATTTTTTTTTCGCAATAGAAAATAATAATCTCATATCATTGGTAAAATAAATGGTTAGCCTCCTGTAATTCTCAGAACGTGATTGCCGATCTGGCTATATTACCCTACAAAAAAAGTTTTGATTTTTCGATTCCTATTTAGTATTCTTGGTATCATAAATTATATTTATGTTCCGTAAATGCTAATGAAAGGGCTCCTTACTTATAGTGTTGCCCAAATGTGAGACCAAGTCTCGTCTTGGTCTTGTACAAGTCTCACAACAGTCTTGCGATTACAAATTAGGTTATTTCTATAGAGATATGACTGTATTTTTTTCCGGATAGGGGAAAGCTAACTAAGCCCAAATGAAAAATTGGAAGAGTTAAATAAACAAGTATATTGATTATACCTATGCTTTACCTATGGAAACTAGAATTGTCAAGTATTGGGTTGGTAAATAAGTCCTTTCGATTTTTCTGTTTATTCTTATGTTACTATGATACACTTCTTAACTAATGAATTAATCCCTAAGGTGAATTGTTTATCCTGGTTGTTATATATCAACAACTATTACAAACTATATCTGTTAAATCTTGTTGAAACTAGTATTGTGTTTGCTATTGCACTATGTATATGGAAGAAAATATCATTCATTATCGGAATATTTTGTTATTATTTTTAAAAAGGTAAAAGTGCTGCAGAAGCTCATAGAAAAATAGATGCCTTAACCAAACGCATCTGTCAAAATTGGTTTACCAAATTTCATTCAGAAAATGTTGACATCAATGATGCTCAACGGTCTAGTCGCCTACATGAAATTGAAACGAGAATCATGTTTGGATCGCTCACATGATTTTTTTTCGAAAATCAAAAAAAAATTTTAGAACTTTAATACGACTTTAGCTATCTACAAGAAATTCAGCAGGGATTTAGGGCCACATAAACTACACAAAATGATATCAACAGGACCATTATAAACAAACTACAAATGGAGATAAAAAAAGAAAAATCTATTAGGCGTTTTTGTTCTTTTATTCCTTTTGTAGGCATTAAATCAAAAAAAACTTTCATGCAGCCTTGAAGAGCAATAATTCATATTTCCAACAGATATAGTAACATCAAATTTGGATAACATCCTGAATAGTTCACTCGCAATAAATTATTGAGGCTTGGATGGGACCTTTTGCCATGTTCACCAGACCTAGCTCCAAGTGACTACTACTTATTCCAATCTCTGCAGAACTCTATGAAAGGAAAGAAATTCCAAAAGGAAAAGGACATCAAAAACCAACTGGATCAGTTTTAACATTACACTCCAGACATTCTATGAACATGACATCATGCAGTTAGTGAAAAGATAGGGAAAAAGTCGTATTAAATAATCGTCAATATATTATAGATTAAAATAAATTTTGTCTATGATACATTTAGTTTTATTTCATCCTGCATAACCGAAACGACTTTTTTGTCAACCTAATATTAGTAACTATTTTCCCTTCATTTTTATACACAAAAACTTTTTTTTTACCAGCTCAGTCTTGTTCTTGGTCTTGCACTTTGCAAGACCAAGACCGATTTCGGGCAACACTACTCACTTAGGAACAACATAATTTATGATAACAAGAACAGGAAGTATGGATAGACCTATAAGACAAAAGTTTATTTGTAACAGGTCGCAAACGCCAATCTAAAGTCATGGAAAAAGACAAGTAAAACTAGACGGCAAACTATTCGCTAAAACACAAGACTGCTATGCAATTTCAGCTCACAATTCTAATATCAAACTAGAAAATTTACTACATGGAACAGTCAAATCGAAGTCTCGGCGCATATTCGTAAACATGTAAAAATGTTCAGTTTAACTACAAATTGACACATGTGTACTTTCATCAGTTTCCATCGATCGTTTTTATTTATTATTCATTAAATACTCTCTGAGATGTACTATGTTATGCTATATTTGAATAATTTATTAAAAATAATGACAAAGACAATTGTATGTAAATAAATAAATTGTAATTGAGCTGCCTATCTGCTACGCAAAAGATGATAACTCTAACTACAATGCCTTGCGTAACTTGAGTGCGTGTTCTTGCTAAGAAAAATAAATAATTTCCTCTGGAAGCAATCGATAAATCTTCACTTGACATTCTCGAGGACCTTTACAGCAACAGTTCATACCCACAAGAGGACAGAGCAAGATGGAGTCGATACCCAGGCATGTCGTCCGTAAGAGAACAGTAAATTCACCAAAGCGGCTCTGTAAGATGTTCGTTATTGCGAGGTTCTTAGGACTGATGCCAATTACCTCCACATTCGTTATGTCTAAAAAATGGTTCCTTCTCAGTATATTTATTTATTTACCTTTATCATTTTTACACGTCGCATACAAATTGTTTACTAGAGATAAATTGCCAGCAGCCCTCACGGGTACTCAGAAATTCATAGTTTTGATAAGCGGTTTGTACAATGCATTATTCTCCATTCTTTACTGCCTGAATTTGATCATAAGAAGAAATTTACTGAATGAGGTATTTCTAAAAATATGGAAATCAGGAGAATGTGAGGACAAGGAAGTTACATTGCCCCTGGTGTGCTATACATCCTTCGCTTTGTATTTGGTTTTTCGTATCGCCGCAATCACAATAATCAGCTTTCAGATCAGTCCCAGCCCATTTAATATCGTAAGGGTAGCCCTATTTCATGGCTTACCTTACATCCGTAGCATTTTGATAGTATTTTTGTATTGCTATAATACACAATTAGCTGGCAGGGCGGTTAAGCAATTGGCCAAGACGCTGAGTCCGTCGATTCAACAGGTGATTTTTAAATTAGAAAAATTCGAAGATACCAAGGAATTGATTAAATTAAATAACGAATTCTTCTCTTACCATGTTTTGATATTTGTTTTTCAATTTCTTTTATCCACAACTTTTCACAGCTATAACGTAATTAACTCTATCCGTACTAATTTCAAAACTTACGGACTTGTGCCGACGTTATTGGAATCAGCAGATATGTACGGAAGTGTCCAGCTGTTAATATTGTACTGCATTACAGTATCTGACACCAAAACTAAGGTAAGTGATTTTTCATATTCAGAATTCCTTATTTGTTATAAATAGGGCCCGGATCAGAAGATCTAAATTTACCAACAAATAGATCGCAAAAATCAATTTTTAGATCCAAAAGAGATATTAAACCATTTATTAACAATAATATATAGCATAAAAGTATGTCTAGAAATTTAACATTTTCTTTCATGGAAAACATAAATAAACAGGATTTTTTCCTGCTGCTCTTCTTTCATACTGTGACTTTGATCTCCGCCATTTCTTCATTCTTCTCCTTTGCCTGGCACACTCCTTAAAAAAAAAATCGTCCTTTTGATACAAAGACTATTTGAAAGACAATATTTTTTTTCCATTCATGCATTAGTATTTATTTATACATTTGCTATACTAACCTTGTTATCAGGTAATACAGGTTTTGTACTTGTTCTGTTCTAAGCTGTGTCCTCGGATACAACTAAATCTTTTCTTATTAATCATCTTATTCATCGTCTTCTTCTATACTTCTATACAAAGTTCAATGCATTTTTCGTCGCCAATATGGCTGATATGGCCTGGCTCCGAACCCTTCGAGGTGCCCTGATGTCTTCCAAAGGACAGTTATTCTGAACAGACGAGAAGTCATTAGTAATGTCTTCCTCCTCCGCATCTTGTCCATCATCCTGCGTGAACTGAAACACGCTCCCAGCACTTCTTAAAGGTCTGTAATTCTCATTGATTGTAAGGGAGTTTTCTAGATTTTTAACTATCTAAAGTTTTTTTTGTTTTGTTTTTTTACCGTTAAAGTTCATGTGGTCGCAACCTGTCTCAGATTGAAGGATGGAATCGCTAAACCAGTTTCTCAGTGTTAGCGAGACCATAGTATCGTCTATCCAAATTTGAATCTTTACCTCAATGAAAGTGGGGTATCTTTACTACAGGAATCGTCTGTCAAATTACTTGAAATAATGAAAAAACTATACATCGGCCATTTACTTTGATTGTTGACGTGATTTGTCGGACAGTGGTATTATTGTGATGTTTCTCTAAAGCTTCATATCCCAATTTACTGTTAGCTCGGCCAGACATTTAAATAAAACGCTCTGTATGTCTCATGCACACTTAGTTCTCTACGTACAGTAAAATTAAAGAAGCGATTTTAACGTTGAATAACTTATTTTTTATCAACATGATAATTATTGTGTGTTTTGATAGAAAAGTGCATAACAGTTAGGACAGTTTATACTGCATAAATTGATGGCCATTTGATTCTCATGATTCTAGAGGAGCTGTATTCGGGCTGGCTGGCTCGCTCTTGAACAAATAAATAATAGGATTTTTTTTTTTTAATTTCAATGAGTGATCTTAGACAAATTGGTACTTAATAACAACATGTTTCTTTTCAAATTTTAACGCTACAATAAATATATACTTCAACTACCAAATGTAAGAAGTATGAAGTAAAATCATAATTTTTTTTTATGCCCAAAAGCATTCTTGTACCAGTGATTAACATCATCAAAAAAATAAATAAATATAACGGAGTAGCCCTCTCAAAATTAAATCCTTAATTTGTTATTGCCTCGCAATTTATTGTTTATATTAGTTATAGACATGTGTGAACAATACTAAAGACAATTTGATGTTTATTATGTAAGTATAGTACACTAAGTAAGTAGACGGTACAGCAGAAATCACCTGAGGTAGGGGCTGTGGTATGAACCAAAACACACACTTATGAACCTTGGACACTTTTCAAGGATTAAGGCTGCTTCTATCTTTATTTTCAAAGTTAAAATGCTGAAAAAATTATTAATATGTAAGATCAGTCTTCCTCTTACAAAATATGGCAGAACAATAACTCTAGAAACAATAGTATTTTACTAAACAATTTTTTAATTTGTCCTAATCGATTGGGGTAAAATTGGGACAGTAAAATTATTCCCATTAGAATCAGCAGGCAACATGATTTGTTATCAATTTTACCCCACAATATTGTATAGGCTCATTACATACATAACAAACAACAAGGAAAATGAGTATATAGCAATTTTACCCAACAATACTATATTTAAGAGCACATGAGAACAATAGATTCGTATTAATGGATAATACATACATAAGATTGCAAATTATAATTTGTTAACCAATTAGGCCTTGAAAATTTACTCAACAAACAGAAAGTGTAACAAACATTATTCAAAACACTTCCTACAATCCAAAAAAAAAAAAAAAAAAAAAAAAAGAAAAACCAGCAATAAAGCGTTTAATAGACGAAGCTGCATGTACATCATACCATATTACTCTACTAATTTATATCTAACTTTTTAAAGCACTTAAATTTCACTTGATCCTGATTCTGCCTAAAATTGCAACCTCTATTAATACTTATTGTTTTTATCTTTAACAACAATCAGTTAAGATTTTAATTAACTTTAAAATCCCATTATATATTTAGTCTTTATCTAATCATTAGTTTCTCCATCATAATTTAACAAAATATTGTCGTTAAAATGGCAATAGCAAACAAATCAGTATTCAACCAATGGTGAAAGAACACGAATATAGGTCATAATCGATATATCCTTTGATGACATTTCTGAGAGCCCTATGAATTCTGTAAATCGACAGCTTGGATAGATTTGTACAGAAGAGGTCGGGGCAGGATACTACGCCGCGGCTGTTTGTGCGCGATGGAATGGCGAACTTACCAAAGGGGCTCAGCAGCATCTTTACCATATCGAGGCTATTAGGATTGATGCCGGTGACCTCCGCATTTACTGTTTCTAAAAGATGGTTCATCATAAGTATCATTATTTATTTGCCACTGTCATTGTTCGACCTCGCTCATTTATTCATCATGTATACGAATTTGCCAGAAAGCTACGATAATTTTAAAAAATTCATAATTGTAATGAGCGGTATTTACTGTAACATTTCCACGCTTTGCTACTTACTGACATTGATTCTAAAAATCAATATATTGAAACAGGTACTTTTAAAAATGGAGAAGTTGGAGGGTAAGGAAGAGAAAATATTGAATCTGTCAATGATATGGTTTACATTTCTTGATTTTTACCTGGTTTTTAATACTGTCACAATGTTTGGGATTTTCACAACACTCTACTGTAATAATTTTAAAATAATTTTCAAAATGATTTGTCATATCGTACAGTACTTTCGTAGCATTATGATAATTTATCTGTATTGTCTCATAACCCGATTCGCTGGTAGTGCCGTCGGACAGCTAAAGAAAACGCTCCGTCCGTCTGTGCATCAAGTCCTTTGCAAACTACGAGGATTTAACGAAACGGTGCTGTTAATACAGTTGAATAACGAGTTCTTCTCTTGTCAAACGTTGTTGATCGCGGTACGAAGTGTAGTTATGTCAACGTTACGTTTGTACAAGATTTTTTACATGTATCGCAATAATTGGGAATTCAATGCGCTACAGGTAACATTGGAAATATTAGACCCCATTGGAACTATCGTGTGGTTACTGGCGTATTCTGCAAGTGTATCTTATTTCATGAATTCAGTAAGTATATGTTATAAAGAATACATATGAGGTATTTTCCAATTCTAAATCTAATCTTCTTCTACAAAAAAAGAGTTTCGTTTCCCCGCAGAATATTCGTAATTTTATATTTTTTAGTGATATATGAATGCCATGATGTACCATGCTTAAACATTTAAAATGATCGAGGGATGAAAAATTAACAAATAGATACTAACGATGAGCACTTTAGTAAAAATAGAAAACATGCATAAACTTCTGAATATTAACACGTTAGCTGCGATTATGGTTTCCGACGTCCATAATAAAGATAATGATTATTTACGTTTGTATCTATCCCACTCCCATCCAATATTTTAAAATTACCATTTTAGAGACTTCATTAGATAGGCAAAATTCAAAACAATCTCGGTCGAAGTCGAGACGAATATCGGAACCCGGAGACACTTATCGCAGCTAACCGCAGTGTTAATATGGATTAATGCTTATTGTAATCTAAATATTACTAACCTTAATATAAGGAGATAATATATGTCCGAAATATAAGTTTAATTGAAACATTAAATTTCGTTCTTAAGAAAGAAGAAAATATAAAGTTCATGTTAGGTTAAAAAAAAAATCCACAACGTTACGCTAATCCAGTCATCAAAAGGACCGAAATCTTCTAGTATACGGTTGAATATCGTGGAGTGGTGTTATCTTAGATAATCGATAATAAATAAATAATATTTGTTGATTTGTTATTGTCTAATATGGGACTTATTCCAAGTTGTAATTTGTTACTGTTATAGCCCTTAGTTTAGCTATGTTTGTCTGATTTTTATGCATTTACTATGTTTTTTTATCAATAAATTGAATCGAAATTCATAAAAACATAAGTATTTAAAACTTTAGCTACATCAAAAATATAGTATTTGGGTGTTTCTAATAAACTGATGACAAGCATAATTTCGATTTAGTTCCTTATGGTTCCACCCAACTCACCTACCTACTGGCCCACTGATCCTAACCGTAATCCCGATATCCTCGATTTCTTTATCCATAATGGTTTAGGTGCTCTCAACCATTCCGTTGCCCGTCTTGACGAGCTTTCCTCAGACCACAGCCCATTAATACTCCAAGTATCACTAGCTCCTATTCCTAAACCCTCTCCTCCGTCCTTCATCAGAGGCTCAGTTAACTGGAAACTCTTTCATCAAATCCTCTCCGATAAAATTGACCTCAGAGTAACCCTGAAAACCTCTGAAGACCTGGACAATGCAGTACATTCCTTCACTACCAAAATTCAAGAAGCAGTCTGGACTGGTTCCTCCCCTGATCACTCCTCAAAAATCCTTAAGAAACATAATTTACCTCAACACCTCCTTGACCTAATCCACATAAAACGCCGTGCCAGATTATTATGGCAACGTACCAGACATCCAGCCCACCGCCACTCCTACAATTATCACTGTAAAAAATTAAAACAAGAATTAGCCACCTTCAGATCCCAATCATTCAATTCCTACCTCACCACACTCTCTGCTCATGATAATTCCCTTTGGAATATCACCAGAAAAATCCTCAAATCCCATCATATTTCCCACCCTCTTCGACGAGATGATGGCTCCTGGGCAGCATCTGATGAAGATAAAGCCGAGGAATTTGCCAAACACCTTTCCTATACTTTCGCTCCTCATCCAGAATCCCATCCCAGCCACACAGTAAAAGTAGAAGAATCCCTCTCAATACCTATCCCACTCTCCTTATCACCTAAAGCTGTTAATCCCTCTGAGGTCAAATACCTTTTACGGAAAATCACTCCTCGCAAATCTCCTGGATATGACCTTCTAACCCCACAGATCCTTCGACAACTTCCATCTAAAGCCATCATATTTCTTACATATATATACAATTGCATCCTACGAACTACCCACTTCCCTCTTTTATGGAAACATTCCACCATCGTCCTCTTCTTGAAACCAGGCAAACCTTCCAACAATACAGCATCCTATAGACCAATTAGCCTACTCCCAATCCTCTCAAAAATTTTTGAAAAGATCCTACTGAAACGAATCCTACCTATAATTGAATCCTATAACCTTCCTACTCATCAATTCGGATTTCGTTCCCAACATTCCACTGTCCAACAAGGACTCCGAGTTGTTGACCATATATCCTCAACCCTAGAAAGCAAGCAGTATTGCTCGGGTGCATTTCTGGACATAGCGCAAGCTTTTGACCGGGTATGGCACGCCGGATTACTCTTCAAGCTTAAAATCCATCTACCACAGTCCTTATACCTAGTACTCCGATCCTATCTTTCCGACCGCTCCTTCCGAGTTCGCTGTGGCACCGAATTCTCCGACTGTTACTCAATTGAGGCTGGCGTTCCTCAAGGCAGCGTCTTGGGCCCCATCCTTTACATTCTCTTTACCGCTGAAATTCCTGTCCATCCCGATACCCTCCTGGCAACTTTCGCTGATGACACTGCTATCCTTTCTTCCAACTCAGATCCTGAAACAGCGTCCGCAAACTTACAAAGGCACCTCTTCCTGATTGAACACTGGTGTAAGAAATGGCGCATTAAGGTAAACGAATCTAAATGTAAACACATTACCTTCACCCTTCGGCGTAATACCTGCCCACCAGTTTATTTTAACTCCATCCAGGTTCCTTTCTCAGATACAGTCCGGTATCTTGGCTTTCTCTTAGATAGACGACTAACATGGAATCCACATACTCGACTTAAAAGACAGGAACTTAACAGACGATATGGCCAGCTATATAGACTACTGAATAGAAAATCTAAACTTTCTGGTGAAAACAAATTACTGATCTACAAGACAATATTGAAACCCATCTGGACTTACGGACTAGAACTATGGGGAACAGCCAAATTTTCTAACATCAAACGCATTCAATCCTTTCAGTCTAAAGTCCTCCGTACAATAGTCAATGCTCCCTTCTATGTAACCAATAAAACCCTACACCATGACCTTAATATCCCATTTATTCTTGATCTTATCCCAGCCAAATTTTCCAAATTTCACCAGAACCTTTCTCATCACCCAAATCCCGTTGTACAATCCCTATCAAGCACCACCCATCCCTACAATCCCCTTCGTAGGTTAAAGCGGCAGTGGCCACGAGACCTTTTGTAAATATGGATATTTTGGAGTTCTAGCAATGGCCAGATTCTCCACTCAAGTCATGAGTGTCTGTGGCTGTAGCGCTCTTACTCATCCTCCGCTGGTTTAAAATACCAGTGAAGTGGCTGAGGGAGAAGCGTAGGGATCTCCTAAGCCTCCCTTTTCCCTCCACATGTGGAGGGGACAGGATTGGTTCGGAGATCACCTGGCAAATTTTAAATAATGTATGTTTTATATAAGGTGTTTGTTTTACTTTTATTTCTATTTTTATTTACTTATGTGTATATATATATATTTTTTTTTCTTTACTCTTTTGTTCTTTCTTCTTATTCTTTTGTTATTACTTTATTTATTTATATTTTTGTATATACGGTATGAATGCAATCTCTGAACTCTATTATAAGTGCCCTTAAACTGTGACAAATTGTAATATTTCTGAATAAAGTGTTTTAATAAAAAAAAAAGTTCCTTATGGTATCGCATCATCAATTGTTATATACATTTTTGAATATTTAAAATAATTACTATCGAAAAAGGGTATTAAGTTAATGTATGACCTTTTTTTCAGATCGAAAAATTTAACAGAACTATTTTCAGACTTCTAATGAAGCATGAACATCTTCGCAAAAATGTAAGTTGTTATTTAAAATCCTTAATATAACTTTATATAAATATAACTGTGTGGAGGTTTTTGTCCAATTGCACATTCGTGTTGTTGTTATTAGGTACTCATGTTGTCATATTTCTTATGCAATACTCTGATCAATAAAATAATGCATGTTTCACTTCATAATAGCAGTTTTGAGAGCACGCAGTTATTTTTCAAAGTTCTTTTCTGTCAACTCGGACAACTACTCGTATAGTAAGCACTTGTGTGTACAATAGCGTCACTAGATGCCTGCTTTCACAGTAGTAAATGAAATCTGTGTCCCATTCATGAGGGGCCAGAGGAACCAGCTGGATAGACGTAGCATTCGCCTTATCAACATTGGAAAGACTGGATGGTTAGAACAAACCCAGGATGGCAAAAAGAAGGGGTTTATGGCTACAACGGGGAAATTTTTGGCAACAATTAAAGAAATCCCGGCACATGGAGATTGTATGAAAACGAATTCCAACAGTAAAAGGACAGTATAAACCAATAAACGGTGGATAATGAAGATCATTACGGAGACGACTGTAAGCTCCCATCACGTAGGAATACAAAGGATTCCGGCCATGCCAAGAGCTAACCACGCTTAAAACGAACGTATCATACAGTGAGATGAAGATATCAATGGATTAGGAACGAAAAGATAAAACTGTTCTTAGAGAAGATAATAGGCGCAAGTAACAAACCTATCGAAATGGATTATGTCATTAGAAAAAAAATCCTGGGACGACTTTATCGAAGAAGAGATTGTCAAGAAAGAGTTACATTGCACAGGGTGGCAATGGACAAAGTTAAGCAATCCCAGATGATTACAGTTAGGAACAACAAGGCAACCACCCTAGAGGAGAAGGTTGAAACGTATTTAAATTTCATATACCCCAGGGATGTTGCCTACCAGGATATTGAAAAGGGCAGAACAGTCAGTATTCTCAGACACATAGTGAGTCACGCGTCCTCTGCGTTGGGTCGTCGCCTCTCATAAAAGAAAAAAATAGCAACCCTCCAGAGACTGGTTCTGGCTAGGTTCAAGAACGTTTTGCACGATGCCATCCAGATACTGTTTGGGACAATGCCCTTTGACATGATCCTGAGAATTCCAATTACCTCGATATCAAGAGAAACGGATTCAGTTCATTTGATTACTAGAGGCAGTGAGAAGAGAACCAGAGGAAATGAAGAAGAATATAATCCAAGAGTAGAACAGGCGGTGGACGACAACCGAGAAGGTTTCGACCCTTAGAAACCCTCACCGTCTGTTTAAGACTGGT